CAGGAATGCAGCAGTGTTAGTTCTAGCTGCCTAGGAGAAGTACTGTCTGTCACTGCTACTTGTTATTAATTGAAGACTAAACTTCCTAGGAATGTACTCCCTCATACAGTATCTAATCTACACATCTAATGTCAGGCCAAGCATATTAGACAGGACCAAACTGGCAGTATTGTTAATAATTTACTGAAACAATATTTTAAATTTTGCCTGGGCTCAAGTTTAATTGCTCTTCATGAAATGCACCAATGGCAAAGTCACCTTTAACACTGATTTTGGTTAAGTGCAGCAGAACACTTGTCGGGGGAGGAGGAGGGGTGGGGGGAGGATGTGTGGAAAAAAGTTACAAAAGGAAGGATTTTATTGAATAGCCTACCAGGACATCCAGGATACTCGAGCTTGGAATGTCAAAGCATTTTGTGAAGCCATTTTCTTTCAAGTAAACATTAAAAGTTAATGATGTTAAAAGTCTAAAAGCCCCAACCCAGCAACTCTAGAAAAAATAGCTGACTAGGTTGAGGCAGGAAAAATAAAAGAATCACCAGGTCAGATATCCTGGCTCCTATCCAGACTCTGCCATGTTGAAGCAGAGAGGCACTTAACTACAAAAATAAGGTTTGCTGTTGCTTAGTCCTCAGTATTCCCTAATCCCCAGTTCTGCCAATTTTGTCTTCAATTCTTTCTCTATCAGGATACCTTCCTGGCACCCTGACAACACACTCATGGCAATGCAGACCAGCAAGCTTTACAGGAGGGCAAGAACTCCTGCTTTTCTCCTTTAAACTAAGGAAGTTCTTCCCCACACGTAGCTCCTGCCACAAGAACAGCTTTGAATTGTGGAAAGTTGAGCAATCACCTCCTCCAAAGCTTTAATTAGGTCATTTCTCAGCTGCAACACCTAATCTTTATGAAATCAATGGAAGCAAAGACTCAAGCTTAAATTAGAAACCAGGCCACATAACATATCTGGCTATTTTGCATTATTACAACATGTTAATATAATTAACTGAATTTGCCAGTATTCTGCTGACTAGAAAAGGTAGCAAACCACCTGCCACACTTGCCTTGTTTTTCCACCTTCTTGCTCACAGACCTCAAGATGCAGTAAGAGATTGCAGAGATGGGGACTTGAATTTCAAGCCCAGAAGAAAATATGCATTCAGATAAGAACTACCAGGTTGTAAACAGTTTAGCTGTCTGGATCATGAGGAAAAAGGTACTCTTTTTTAACTCACAGGTAAGACAAATATGCCACTCAAGTAATGTGCTTGGTTGGACCATATGACAAAGTAACTGGCTTTAAAAATTTGAGTGACTATTGAGAAAAGAAAATGCAATTCCTGCTCAAGCTGAGTGAGAGGCTGCTGCTCTCAATAAAAGCCTGCAGAGATGAACATGTTTAAAGCCTGGGTTACACATGATCAAGCCATCCAGAAAAAGGGTTGTCACCAGAAGCAAGTAGCCATGCCAAGATGTACAGAAACTGTATTGGCAAACAGCAAAGTGTAAAGGCACTCAACAGCCTGACTGTCTATAAAACAAGAGGTTGATTCAAGGAACACTGAACTATGAAGATTTTTCTCAAGCAAACAAAAAGGAAAACCACTGCCAATATGGTAATACCTGGAAGCCATCCAATTCAAGCAAAGGTTACTAGTAGTCCTGTGCATGAATGAAACATGGATCTAGCCAAGCTCTTGTTTTCAAAAAGTCTTTGCAAAAGAGGCAAAGCATTTAGAAAATGGTCTTCCCTCTTTCTGTTCTGTCCCTTATATGCAAGTGGGACTCAAGCTTTATCGCCCTTTTCAGTCCAGGGCAAGAGCTCTCCTGGGGCTGTGGCTCAGTCCAAACAAGCCAAATACTCAGAAAGCTCAACACACAAGAGACAAGTTGCAGAGCATCATTATCATATATTACAATTAGCTCATCATCTATGCACTCCACAGAGCAATTCAGAAGTGTTCATTTTGGTTTAAGTGGTAGATTGACACTTCAAAAGAGTCCTCAAACAATAGCAATATAGTTCCCTAGGGAAGGGCAAAAAGGCAGATAGATACTTTGAAAAGTGTAAGGCTGGGTAGCAGGACACATTCAGAACAGCAGGTCACTGCTGAAGGGGGGGAAATTTGTAATGCACTTAACTGTTGCCTAAAGAAGCTTCCCAAAAGAATGTATAACCCTTCTACATCTGCGTAAAAAGGAGACAAAACACACTCATTAACTCCACCAAGTAACAGACTGAAGCCCAGGCAACCCAAGTTTCCAAAGGGCTGACTGATGACAGGAAAGCTCTCCATGTAGCACACAAGCTAAAGTCTTGTAACTAATAATGCAGTATTTCCTGGAGCCAAAGCAGTTAAGAGTCTCTGCCTTTGGATACACACTGAAAATCCAATCAGCTGGCTAACAGGTAACACTGTGGCATCACCTTTTAGTTGTTCACTTTACTAATAAGAATTTTTTGTTATTCTTTGCTTATCTAATTGTGCAGTAGCTTTCAGATGCCATGGCATTAAAACAATGGAAAACTATTCTGGATTTTCTTTCACATTCACAAAATACTACTTTTTCACCCCCAATAGCAGAGAAGATTTATTCTATTCTTACACTTTATAAATCACTTTTTAAGGCTCCTAATTTCAGTTCAGCTCAAATCATGTGGAACTGGCAGTTCATTTATCAAGGCTATTTTTCAATCTACAGTAAACTCCTTGTGCACAGAGCCCAAGGTGGAAATAGTGAATAAGTGCTAGGCAAGCAGACTGGATTTTCCTAGTACTATCTATCACTGAGGCATAACCTTTGTAACTTGCTGAAAGCCTGACAGCTCAGAACAGAGCTGGACGTCCGCAACTGCTCTGCTTGGTAGTTTTTAAAGAGGAAAATTTTGTGCTTGATTTGATAAACAGTGTCTTCTGCAAAGCAGCTTCTAGGGCACCCAGTTTTTCCTGCCCAGGTTTGTTCAGCATTGAACAGAGATATGGGGAAATGGCAGGCAGTGAAAGGGATAATTCATCAGCAGGAGACAGTGTACATGTCTGTCCACAGATGTCAGCAAGAGGACAGCATCAAGTTACAGAGCTCCATGTCATCCCTGATGAAAGGGGCTACAGAGACAACACGGAATGACATCCAGGACCAGCAGTGCTACATCTCACAGGCAGATGACCACTTCCCATAGTGCTCTTCCAACTCTTCCCTTATTGTATCCTTACACTTCCAGGTGTGGCACACAGCTGAGTTAGGTTTTGTGATTACTAGAGAGAACTAACACACCTGAGTTAGGTTTTGTGATTACTAGAGAGAACCTAGTATTCAAGTCTAACCAATATTTGAACCTAGCATTCAGCTCCTGGCATAGTGCTGTTATTCACCCTGGCCAGTCTCTCTGCCTGCCAAGAACAATGATGGTTCTGCATATTAACATTTTAAAGAAGCTAATCCTGAAGTCTTACAGAAGCCTGAAACTGGCCTTAATTTCAACACCTGTGTCCAGCTTGTAGCTTCATCAGCTTATTTCAGAAGGATCTTGCTCAAGAGGCCTAAAGTCTTCAGGACAGCAGAGCAGCTCAGTAGGGCAAGGCTTCTGCAATGGCAAAGAAGTTTGCCGCTTCTTTAACTAACTACTGATCCAGGGATAATTCACATACACTGAACTCAGCTAGACAAGATGCTCATGCTTTTACAGTCTGTAGAAGAGGACTCTGTAACAAATCTTCCTTCAGAGTTCAGGTGGCTCCTGCAAGCAGAACTGCAAATGCCAATGGTTTCCTTTGCAACACAGCTGTAAGAGCAAGGCTGAAGTAAGTACACACACCTGAGCCACTCAGATCCTGTTCCTGCTACTGCCCATCACCTTTGACAGATGTCATGCTAGGACTTCATTCTCAGTTCGAAGGCTTTTGCTTAAGCCGTGAAGCAGCAGACATAAGGCAAGCCAGATGAGTCTGAAGACAAAGCTGTAAGCATTAGTCTCATCAGCTGATCAGATTATTGCACTGAAGAGAGTTACTTGGAAACTTAACTCATTAGCAACTCCCTGCCTGGGGTTTAAAAAGAACACAATTTGACAGTGCTCTTTTTCAACTCCCAATAGAGGCTGCCACTGCAATTTGCAGAAGGCTTTCAGTTAGAAAGCAGCAGTTTCCCAACTTGTGGTCTACAGAAAGGCAGGCAAAGTTCTGCACCACTTTGCAGGCACATTTGCAGTCGTGTCTCACATCTCAGACACTGTGCTGTGTGGGAAGTGTGAGGGGCAGCTATAAGCAGCTGAACTCCTTCACCACCTCCAATACATCAGCATTACAACTGCTCTACAGGCAGGGAGTGAAACTTTTAGAAGACAAAGTTAGCTCAGCATGATCAGTTACTTTCTCCAGCCAGTTTACTTTTTGCTGTTTCTGTGGAAAGTTTTAAGCTGTGTAAGGACACTTCTCTTAGCATTTTAAAGATCATACTCCTTCCTGTGGAAAGGACAAATTCTGTAATTTTTGTATTCAACTAGTATTTTGCTCTCAAGATCCACAGCATGGAGGTTTAGGGGGTATTAAAAAAAAAGCAGTGGCACACACCAACTCACCTGGTTCCTGGACTGGGCCCTTGCGATTCTGAGTCTCCAAGCAGAATAAAAAATAAAGTAACCCATGGTTGCTGCTGTGACAATGAAAAATGACACCGAAATGAAGAAGATGGAGTACTGATTCATCCACGGACCATGCTTTTTCCCCACTTCAATAACCATGGTCACTTTCATGCCACTCTCAATCCGGTGTAAGATCTCTGTGCCTTTCAGGTTGCCAATCATAATGGCAACAATGCTTTCAGCACCTGCAAAGGAGAAGGGAAATCCATGCTCAGTTCCCAAATGTTGTTAAATAGAAGTAATTGTCTTAGATGTTCAAATGCTAAAGAACAGACTGGAAAGTGTGTAACTAGTGTTTGCAGACTCAACAGGAGCTGGTGGACTAAGTGTCATCTCCATGTGCTTTTTAAGCTGAAAAGTATGTCCAAATATATAAGTGAACCATATTTAGAAATCATTCCTCTCCATAGCACTCCTCACACTTTGTCATTATTTCAGATTTGACACTTGGGCAATTTATTTTTTAACATACCTTTGAACTACTTGAAGTCAGAAATAAATCCTATACAGAGTGGGGTCACTAGGAACTCCAGGAGCCCAAGGATGGCAGGCACACAGCTGCTGCCTTAGGGATCCTTCCTGTAATGGATCTCACTTCCTCCTTGCTCTGCTGCTACTTAACACCCCTTTTCTAAATTTGACAGTACCATTGAGTAGATCCACACTGAGCAATCAAAGCCACAGATCAGCCTTTGCTTCGGTATTTTCATAAACAATTGAGAAATGTTTGAGTAAAATTTGGATGTGAACAAATGCTGTGCCTTTCCAATGCAAGTTCAGAGGGAAGCAAATACTGAGGTGTGCTTGGCTCTTAAAAGGTTGGTGGCAGATGGCAAGCTCCATACAGATTTTAACAGCAGATTTCATTTACTCCGTTGAACATCAAGACAAGGCATCAGAGGAACCAAGGGGTTTTTATGGCAGGAAAAAATTTCAAGCAACTCTGGTCACCTGGAGTATAGACCAGAACAAAGCTGCTTTCATTTCAGTGACAAGCAACTGCTTGAGAACATTTGATATCCTTTGCGGGAACTTCAGGCAATCCCAATGTAACAGGGAGGCTCTTAAGAGGTAAAAAAATCCCACAAAACAAATCAGAGAAAGGGAGACAAGTGAATTGTCACTGGCCTTTGTCTAAATACACAAAAAGTGGATTTGAAGACCAGCTGGTCAGGAGTCTCACTGCATTAAGCCATCAGCTGCACAACACTCATAACAGATACTGTCTGGTGATGGAATAAAGGCTGTTACAGAAGTGATATTTTTAGCTAACCTCCCAGCCAAACACTTTTTAAATGGGGAAACCAATTTTTTTTTCCTCATTAAGAGAAACCTTATCCAACTTTCACCAAATCAAAAACTCCAATTGGTGTTAAACCACAAAGACTGTATTTGAGAAAGCACTAAGTAGTTTTCCAGCTTGTTCACATAATGCCTCTGATACAAGATGGCTAAGCGTGATGTCGAGCAACTCCCCTCAGCGTGGCTAACTCATCTTCTATTCAGAAAGCTCCTTGTAATGAGAATACGTCACAGAAGAGGGGAAAAAGTAATTAAAAAACAATCAGCCAGACTGCAGCTTCTGTCCTTAATGAAGAACTAGGGCTTATACGTCAGTTACAAGAGGAGCTGGAGTCAGCTGTTAGGAGCAAGTGAAGAATTAAGCATGGGTCAAGTCAGAAGCTGAGACCTACTTTCATAAGCCGGGAACAAAATGTGGAAGAACAGGCTGTGACAACAAGAAAATAAAAAGCCTGCCAAAAAAAAAAAAAAAGCAAAAAGCTTGTTCTGCCTAATTCCCCTTTGCCTCTGCGTGTCTCACTAGTCATAAATAGTTTGTGGTTATGTGCAATAGACGATGGAGCGTAGGGATCCCTGTTAATGAAATGTCACCATCAGCTTCAACACCACCTCAGCTTCTAAGCCATCAGATGTGAACAAGTTTTACCCTTAAAAAAAAAATCTTCCATTTAAGTTTCAAGCTAATCGGTTCACCAGGATGTCATTTGATTACAGTTTTAAGTCTTTTTTTTGACATTTTTTCCCCTAAATAATTCCTTTTGCTTTTTCAGTTCTGCTTGAGGTAAACACATGTGAGGGGCCAGCTGGTAGCTCTGACAATGGAGCAATGAGGGCAGAAGTGAGAGTGGACATTTCAAGCAGCTCCTGCCCAACTTGGAGCAAACCGCCACTGACACACACCAGCATCCACCTTCAAGATTTTGTACTATGATCTCTTAGGACCAACAGTTAATTTCTAAAGGCAATTACAGGTGAGCTAACTGACATAATTAAAATTTATCCCTAGTGTCCTGCACCTCCAGCCCTGCAGTTGAACCACTCTCTGCATGAGAACATCAGAACAAGTACAGGGCACTGCCTAAGCTTCATCTTTTGCTGCTTTCACAGCAACCACCTCTCCCAAGGCAGCCTTGGTAGGCAAATCTTCCTCTGAGGAGAGCAGGGAGTTGCTCTATCAGTGTGTTTTCTAGGGTAAAATCCTGCCTCCCAGACGCTCTGGTGCAGGCTCATACAAGTTGAACCCACCCCACGCTGGGCAGCCAGGGCAGGAGGAGGGAACAGGCCTTTTTGTTCTCCCTGCTGCTCCTCAGGGCTGCAGCCAGTTTGAAGTCAAACTTTGCTGTTGCACTTTCAGGTCTTTGCCTTTTCTTCCACATATTAGAAAATATTATTTTGCCCCTGTGTTAATGTAGCTTTTGCTTTGTGCATTTAATAAAACTGAAGCACGACCTGGAAAGGAGAGGAAAGAGAACACCTCCAGTAATGCAATTATCTGCTGTTTTACCAAATCCACCTTAACTTATGAGGGCCCAGTTTACTTTACCCACTTATTAACTGCCAGAAAATAAATTCAGTTTCAAATAAACCTTCTTCAGCATTTCAAATTTAGGAATCTTCATTGTAATACCACATTTCTTATTAATTTCATGTTTCGTAACTAAGAAAACTGAACTGGCTCAGACTGCTTTCATAACCAAGAAAACTGAACTGGCTCAGGCTGCTAACCACACCAACAGCTTTACAGCTGACCACTGTTTTCTGGTGTAGCCCATTTTAAGGTATAATATATGAATACCTAACAGAAAACATCATGAGCCTTCAAAACTTAAGCAAAAAAAAAATCAGTTATGAAACTTGCTGTCTCTGCACACTCTTCTCTCCTCTACCACCACCGTTGATATCCTACCTAACACCACAGAGAACATTACTTCAGTCTAAGAGAAATATTTAACATTTTCTCTGTGCAGTACTCTGAGGTGACACTAACAAATGCCATATACTTTTAACCAGTTCTTGTGAGGCCCTGGACAAGATTTTGCAGTGAATAATTAACTTCCAGCTGTTTGACAGCTTCACATGGAAGTCAATTGAAGAATTCCAGCTCTGAGCCAGCTCCTCTAGCCTCACTTAAAACTGGTTTCTCAGCTTGTTCAGGCATTGGAGCTCTTTTGCATTGTTTAAACTTGCTTGAAACCAAACAAATTCAGCTTTGCTTAAGTCATGAACAACACCTGCATTTCAGTTTAAAGGTCTCAATGTGACTTGAGAAAAAAATTGTATAGAACTTTATTTTCTTGGATAGCAAAAAACAAACCCCTCTAATGTCTCTTTCACCATTTACCAATAACAGGCTGCGAAACAGCACGATGGGACCCTCTCCCCCTCAGGAGTGGACTTACCTACAACATAGCTTGGTGAAAACATCTGAGGAAGGCAAAAGTCTTGTAAGCATTTTTAAGAGCAGGCAAGTTATTTCAGAACAAGGGAAGAGCTGGCATGCTGCACACAGGCTCCAACATTTCAGATTCCATGTTTTTCACCCCCTTTCTGAAAGTCTGAAGTTTTGCATTATCTTTAAGCAGAGTGAAATTAAGTGCCCAGAGTTTTGCCAGTATCATTTCACTTTGTCCAGAGAGTAACTTGTGCAAGCAGCACATCTGCAGTGGCCCAGCCACAGCTTCCTCTCCCCAAGCAGCAGCCCAGCTCAGCCCATGGCATGCCCAACGCTTCACCAGCTACACCCACAACCAGCCCCTGCTCTTGGTGCTGTCAGCAATCCATTTTGACAATATTTTAACCTAATCTTCAACCAACATTAAATTTTCCTTAGAGTTTTTCAATATTGAAGAGAAACAGTTTGACAGAAGTCACAGGAAGGAGACGGAAAGGAAACAGGAGAGTGATTCTACCTGAAAGTTAAATATTACCTTTCCCTTTGTAGAAGGGGTTTTCTGACAGGCTATAGCCATGGCTTGCTGGCCAGAAGTTGTTTAATATCACAGTGGCAAAGCGAGTCCAGATAAACTAAGAATTTTATTTTTTAAAAAAGTATCACCTTTTTTTGTTTTACAAGGGCATTAAACAGCAAATCAGCAGACAACCAATGAAATGTTTGCTCTGAATGCTTTAAGAGGACTGAGAAATGAAGGATGCAATTATTAACAGATTAAAGGCTGCAAGCATTCTGCTAGAGCTGAGTAAGTTCTGCCAGAGAACTACTACAGGGTGAAGGGTTTTGTTTTTAAAGAGCTTGCATGATCTTGCAGAGAAGTCTTGAGAGAATGCAGTCACACAAGAACTGCTTGAAGTACCACATCTATAACCCATCACACTCCCTTCCCACAGCTGTAGAAAGCCCCAGCAGACCACCACATAAGCCAGATTCCCAGAAAAAGGAGAATGGAAGAAATTACTTTTGATTTTGATTGCTTCACATACAAAAAGAGCAAAAAGCAAACTTCTGAGTTTGAATTCTGAAGGAAATTATAAGCTGTCCCTAACCACAGCAGAATCACTATCGAAAGACTCTTTAGGGAGATGAAATACAAACCCTGGTCTTGGTCAGATAGTGGTTGATCTTTGCTTTTATCTACATGATATGATGCCTCCAGCACAGAAGATCTGTACTAGTTGTGCCTTCAGCCTCAAAGGAGCTGGTAGCATTCCTGTGGCAACTCTCCAACCCCCAACAGAAGCAAAAAGACATTAGGATATCAAGCCATCTCCTGTACTTTAACATGAAAGACACTGTCAGTTGACTCTCCTACAGTGTCCTACCAGATTAGCACACCTGGTTCTTCAGGCATGTAGGAAGAACATTTGATATGCTATCTTCCATGTTTAAAAACATAAGACATACCATTTTGAATACTGCTTATCTCAC